AAGAGTTCCCCTAATGCCTCTCTGCTTTGATACGCTGAGGAGAAAAAGAATGAAGGAGAGAGGAATCAAATGAACACGGCATTATGCAGCGCGCAATGACAGGAATCCAGGAATAAAGGGAAGCTGGGCCGGTTGATACACTACAATCATGTTTCCTCTTCAGACACTTCAAACTGTAGATATGTTGTTAAAGAACGGCTTCATGTGAGAGGGCATACTCAGTGATTCCCAATCGAACATCATGCCGGATGCTGTTGAATAACTTCAAATGCTCATTTATACGATTAAATTCAACCTGATGTTAACGAGAGTAAAATAAAAATTCAGCTGAGGTCTGAGGCGCCTTATTTTAAAAAAAGAGGGAACTTAGGATGTTTGTAAGGATACTTAACTAGATAACATTCAGAGGCACTGCTTGTCAATAGGCAAGGCAGGTACCTGCTTAGGGCCCCAGACCAGTAGGGTCCCCAAATCAGTGGCTTAAATGTGCAAATTTTGCAATGAGAGTAGAAACCTCCCTAAGGGGGCCCCATCTGACAGCATTTTTTCTTGTTGCCCTGCTGAACGTTGGTTGGAGGGCCCTCAATAGATTTTTGCCTATAGGACCCCAACAGGATCTAGAATTGCCTCTGATAACACTGTTTTCCTTGGACCCAAAAGTGGGTCGCAAAGCAGTTTTCAGTGGGTCACTAACTTGGGCAAAAGTGTCAAAAAGACTGTGAAGCTCTTTTTAAACATGTTTGTTTTATTAATTCTATTTGCTCTTTCACTTATTTTGTACCGACTTAGGTCCAAACTGCACTAATTTTATTATTGAAACATGGAGTTGGTGTTGGGTCCTGATGCTGGACCAGTTGAGAACTACAGCTCTAAAGACAACTCCCCAAGTCAGGTACAGGGCCTACTAAATGAGTTTGTAACTTAACACACATAGTAGGATCTGGCTAAAAAAAAAGATTTGATCATTGACTCAGAAAAAAATAGACTCAGAGAAAACTTGTTGTAGTTTCTTAAGCAATTTTGACCACTTGGTGCAAAAACTTTAGTTGCTAAGAAGATTAAAGGAGCAGCATGTAACTCTGACACCTAGTGTTTAAAATGGGTACTGCAGTCTAAACATTTTAGAGAGCTGTCTCCCCCCGCCCCCTCCTCTCTAGAGTCGATGCTCCCACAGGTTGCCATGTGGTGGACACTGAAGCTTCAGTGTTTAGCCAGCTCTGCATCGGTCTGTAAACCTTTCAGCGTTCTAACCTCTCTCCATTTTCCAAAAGCATCTCCAACATTGATCCTAGTTTGAGCACGTTTCTGCTCGTGGAGCTTATTAGAAACATGCAGAGGCTTTTTAGGTCGGGTACAATCACTTCTATCTGAACCAGTTCTCTTGCCCGCTTCCATCGCTGCAACATCTGTTGGTTTGACTTGATAACTGCTCTCATATCTGGCAAACCAAGGGGTGTCCAAAACAGCCATGTTAAATCCGCCTACCTTCTCTGGTCCAAACAAATCCAGAGCATTCAGGACCAGAATCTAAAGTTAGAAGGAGGACATACTGGCTGCTGCATTGTTGTCAGAGAAGCCAGCATTTCAACATAGCATGTTTCCTTAATGTCTGATCATATAGTGAGGTCACTTTATCACTCACTACATATCTTACTGAAAGATCCTTTAGATACATTATAACAGATAACGAATCATAATTTAAATCCCAAAGCGAACCAGTGTATCCATCATACGTGAGGGCACAACAGCAACTGGCTGATGTCCAGTTTTTAGTGAAAGTAATATCAGACTGATTAATCAATATCAGGCTTTGTGTCTGATGTTTCTGAGCTTTTAATTTGTGCACAGGAGATGGATTCTAATTATTTGAATATTGAGTCTTGAGTTTTCTTATAGTGAGTGTACTGTGGACTGATTCTGAACACCTTCACATGGCTCCTCGTCCTCAGAGTGCTTTACACGACCTTATGTGACCGAGTTTCACACGTCCTTGCGTCTCTGCTGGACGCTGACATGCAGATGTCTCCCAGACGCAGCAGGACCTGGTGGAACAAGTCCAGCAGTCTGCTACATGAGCAGGGACATGAAGTGGGACGGCGTTTGGCTCCACACAGTAGAATTAATGATTTGAAGACACATAGTTGGTGAATAATTGATTCCAGCCCCGAGGATGGTTAGGAGCTGAGTAAAAGACTAATAAATCATTTGTGGTGCTGCCAGTTGTCACTTTCAATTATTTCTGGGTTTGTGATAAACTGCTGCACCTGCCAGCTGCCGGTCCCACCGTTCCTCGGAGCATAAAGTGACGACTTTACCAAAAACTTTGCTCCCTGCATGGCCTGATACCAACAGCTGACCTTTAAGAGGCATGATGTGAATACAGGAGGACAAGGGGGAAAATAAAGAAACAAAATCTGATATCTGTTCCAGGACAGACGAGCATAATGATTTGCATAGTTACCTAAATTCATATATATAATTCGTCCTTTTGCTTCATAACTGTAACCTTGAATAGCCACACATGTAAATGCCAAATACGGTAACCTTTCTGTTAGATTTTTATTTTAAAGGTGAGTTATCATCGCATATCAAAACGCCTTTGGATACATTTTGATCGGCCTACAAGCGGTTAGAGAAAACATAGGGATGTATCAGCTATTGGGCTAGTATAAATATAAATACACGCACACTTGTAAGGTCTAACATGTCATTTTAGACATGACATTTCAGGGTTTTCAGGCATGCACAAAACTTCTGAAAATGTCCCTAAATGCTTCTTTAGTTAATAATTGTATCATCTTTAAGATTCTGCTCCTCACCGTTAAGGCCATCCATAACCTCACTCCTCTGGACTTCTGCACATCAACATGCCAACCTGCACTCTCAGGTCTTTTTCTACCATTCAACTCACTGCACCACCCGACCCGCCCACCTGACCACCTCTGGAACGCCCTCCCACCGGACATATTCAGTCTGATCATTAATTATCCATCCTGTCTCAGCAATCCTCTTCACACTGACTTCACTGTTCATTTGTCTTTTAACCACACAGTATTTAAATTCCGCTGCAAGGTGGCTCTCAATCAAAACTGCAACGTCGATGCTGGCGAATCATGGGAGTTCTTTCTGCTCCCATGCTCCGACTAGACCGCTTAGTTAAGACGAATGTGCGAAACCGACCTGAGGAAGAGAATATAGTTACAGACGAGCTAATGTATAGGAGTATGATTTACATGACGTTTTTCATCACAGCAGCACATACAGCAACAGTACGACAGCTTTCAGTAGCAGCTCCATTGCTGCCTAATGCAGCGGTCTTTGACGTAACATCTGGTGTTCCCATGGCAATGATAAACATTTCCTGTCTGTCATGGCAACGTCCAGAAACATCCCGTTACAACTAAAAAATTATGGATTTCTCTGGCTTTGATAACTGTTGGAATATTTGAGGTAATGTGAGTACCCAACAAAAAAAACAAGTTTTTTAATCAATGTAGATATTTTAATGTAAACATTTTTACATAATTTGTACCTTTAAATGTTAATTTTATCAATGTATTGTTAGTGAGTGTTGAAAGCACCTTTGAATTAAATGTATTATCATCATTACTGTTATTATTAGAAAGTAGAGAGAACAAACATGTGTAACGGTTTTGAACATTCCCGTGTCAGGATGTCGTCTTCCTTTTCTCTGTCAGTCTGTTTCGATTGATCGCCCCACCGACAGACAGATGGAGGCAGGTTGATTGATTGAGCTGTTTTAAGAGCCCGCTGTAATGAAACTGTGATAATCCTTTAAATAAATAAATAAATAACATGGAGTCTGTCACCTCCTGGCACATCTGACAAGTATAAATCTAACTGATTAACACTGTTGTACATCCACATTGGTTTCCTGTTTATTTCAATGTAACAGATTGCATATTGTAACGTTCTGAGAACGTGTCTCTAGGTGTAAAAGATGTCTTTTTAATTCAGCGGCGCTGCAACACATTCACCATTGTTAACATATGTGCGACTTGTCAAAAACGCTTGTGCTTTGTCACATGTTGAAACGAGCCTAATGCACAATGTACTACAAGGAAGACCTTGTCAAGTGAATAATTACAGAGTTACGGATCACAGGCTCTTGCAGGCCTCCTCCCGGGAGTGCCGCTCGTCGAAGGTAAACTAGGTGTGCTGCACAGTTCATGCTGACTGAATTGGAAAGTTTGAAAAAACAAATGCAGTATTTTCATTATGAAAGTGATTTGATCAATGCTGGGCTCTATTAGTCATTCCACACGGGGATGATTCTGTTCAGTCTGAGAACAATTGCTGATTTGTTTCAGGGCTGTTTTCTCCCCCTGAGCTGCTCTCGAGCACTTTCATTCACAATCAGTTTCTTTGTATTTAGAGAAATACCGTTTGAAATATTGTCCAACTTTATATAACACGCTCTCTCTTTGTAGTAGACATGATTTATATTGTTCTATATTTAAATGCATATGCACTCAGTGGCTCCTTTTAATAGGAGCTACCTGTCATGATTTGCTTTTATCCCTGTTTAATCTCTGGTACAAGTTTCCAGTGTTTCCTGTTTTATTTTGTGAGTGGATTGAGTCAGAAACCGGGGAAAGAGAGAAAGAGTGGAACGACAAGCGGGAAAGGAGCCACAGGACCCAAACCGGGCCGCCCACCTGGAGGACCAGCCTCCGCCCCATCCTATTTTAGCCTTTAGTGTTTCCTGTTTTATTTTGTCATTTCTTACCCTCATGCTTTTTTTTATCTCCTGTGTTTATTGTTCCTGTTACATTCTCGAGTTCTCTGTGTGTCTTCAGTGTTTCCTGTTTTATTTTGAAGATCTGGTCCCCAGTGTTTCTTGTCTTGTCTTACTTCCTCCCTTTGCCTGGTTTCCCTCCAGTTTTGATCGCCCTGATTGTCTTCACCTGTGTCGTCAGTCTCACCTGTGTCTGATTACCCCAGTGTCTATTTAGTTCTAGTGTACCTTCCCTCTTGTTGTCCGGTCATTCAGAATCAGAAATACTTTATTAATCCCTGGGGAAAGTTTGGTATCATCTACTTACCTGCGTCCCGAGCTGTGATGCCATGAGACTTTGAGAATGGCAACTCTGAGGACACCTATGTCTTGGCAGAGGGAGCTGCTTTTTACATCTGCAGGTAATGAACTGACAGGTACTTATTTTTAAAAAAAACTTAGTTCCTGCCTAAATGGCTAGGAGTGTTTTTTCTCTTAAAATAGTGAAAAAAGTGAAAAAGAGTGGGGAATGACATGCTGGAAAGGAGCTACATTCATGGGCCGCCTGCTTTGAGGACCAAGGCCTCCGTACATCAGGCGAGCAAACTAACCACTGGTCCACCTGGCGGCCCACAAGCAACAATTTCTGTCCAACTTTATTAAGCATGTGCCTAATAAATTACAGTAATGCTCACTCTGTTTAAGATTTCCAGTGAAGAATGACAGTGTTAGAGTTCTTTACCAGCTCTAATTTTGCTCACATGTGGAACAATGAGAGTGCTAACAGCCTCATTGAAACACAATCCTGCTCTGTGTCACATTTGCACTGCAGCGGAAACACTCGATTTCTGCGTTTCCTGTGACGCTCCCGTTGAGTAATTGCTATTTTGGTAGCACGCAGGAATGATAACATTGCATTTGACAGCTGATAGAGAGCAGGGAAGCGTTAAGTAGACAGTGGTGGAGTGTGGTCCATCTGTGAGCGGAGCAGAGACACGGAGGCAGAGTGTGAGGCGGGCCCCTCGGGGCCTGCAGGAGCTCAAACTGCATTAGAGAGGAGGTGTCCCTGCCTTTAGCGCAGCTTTCACGCCTCACTCCTCTTCCAACGCAAATCAGAGGCAACACAAGTTATCCATTTGAGATACCGAGTCGATATGGAGATGAAGTCATGGAAAAGGATCGGCAGGGGACCAACAGCCTGTTTATGTGTCTCCCACGTTAGTGCAAAGCAGACACTCGCTGCAGGTGGCATGAAATATTCAGAGGATAACTTCGTTTTGCTAACTGACCAGAGCAAAGATGTCGCGTGTGTCCTCACGTAGGACCAGGTCTCTGACTTATTGATTATCTGTTTTGTTGTTTTCTTTGTTGGGATCTGATTTAAACCTCCCTCTGATGCTCCTTTCTCACTGTATTGACTGTGACCCCTTATGTCTTTGTATAAGGACGGGTTTTAATAAATTCAAAGGTGACATATTCTCCTCCTCTTCAACAAGTTTAAATAAGTCTCAGAGCTTCTCAAAACATGTGTGTGAAGTTTCTTCCTCTAAATCCACTCTGATCCTGTATTTGATCGTGTCTATAAACCTCTCTATTTCAGCCCTGCTCAGAACAGGCTGTTTCTGTGTCTGTACCTTTAAATGTAAATGAGCTGTGTCTGACCACGCCCCCTCTCTGGAAGGGCTTGGGTGTACTCGGGCTTTCTCTCTCCATGTCCTATTGCTTACGTTGAGAAGGCAGACTCAGAGGGCAGAACAACCACCGAGCTGTGGGAGTGTCACCCACCTGGGGGAGGGGTTACTGCCCTTTGTGATGTCATGAAGGGAAAATCTCCAAACGGCCTGTTTGAGCACACATTTTCTGAAAAGTGGAGCAGGTAAAAGACAGAGAGGATGGACTTTTCTCATCATTGGGGGGTTTGTAGACAGACTAGAGACACATATTAGAGTTAGAGGAACATGGGGAAGTGGATTTTACATGATATGGAAACTTTAAATGATTCTTTCTTTAAGGAAGCGAAATACTGCGTTAAATAAGGTGGCCTTTTTTGACCCAACAAACAGACAGACCGACGGATATTTAAAGTTCCTTATTTGACCTCACCCAACAGTGAAGTCACAATGACACAACCACACCCTAAAGAGCACACCTACATTAGAGGTTAGATTTTCTGTCCAGGCCCAGAACAACTCAGCCCGCGACCCAAAGCCGGGTCGGCTTTATATCCAGCTTTGTTCTCACATCAGCTCACTCAGACCTTCCGCTGAAAAAAAAAAAAGGGGCTGACAGGATTAACTCCGGATGACACATGTAGCTCCCCCCGGATTCTTCAGGAGTTTTGTGTGTGAAAACACCAAAGCTCAGAAGCCTGTCCCTATTATAAAAAGAATAAACGTGTTGAAAGTCATTAGTAACAAATACAGTAATTAGTGCTATGACATAATTAAAGAGGTTGCAGGACACTTTCTGTACATCTGAGTGGACTAATATCCCCTGAAATCAAAGTTGAGCTAAACCACTCAGGAGAAAATATCTTTTATCTCTGATCTGCTGTATCAGAAGGTGAATAAAGCTCGACAGGCTGTCAAAGTTTTAATATAGATTTCACATACAGTTATTTCCGGTAATAGTTAATTCAATATCCACAGAAGTTAAAGGCTCGTGATGGGATTCAAAGTGTTCTCTGCTGGCAGAAGTTCAGCAGCACTGCGAGCTGCCAGAGCGGCCGGCCACGTGAAAGAGCTGATGGGTTTGGAGTGAGTGGCAGCTGAGGAGGGAGGGGTGGTGAGGGCTTCGAGTAGAGGAAGTTAAACTGGGAGTAGGGGGCTGGGAGGAGTTGGTGGGCAGTGGTTTGGGATCTGCGAGGAACAACAGCGTTGCTCCTGTGCGTCTGCTCCCTGACACTTTCCTAATCTGATAACGGATGAGGACAGGTTGCCTTCGCTGTACCTGGCAAGTACCTTCCCCAACCTGCACAGGCGGATTTGGGCGGATAAGGCCAGGCTTGGCAAATGCCGGCATCCTCTGGAGAACAGTTAAAGGGTGATTAATCATTGTTTAGGCTCCGAATGCGCAGGAAGAATGGGAAAGCGGCATTCCACACCTCTGAAGCAATTAATCCCTGTGATCTCCACCAGGTTTGTCTTGTAGATAAGTCAGGGTACAAAACTGTTCCTAATTTATCAACCCACTCATGCCATCCAGCATAAAACACACAATTTATTTCCAATCATTTATAGTCACATTTTAAAAAGAGTGACTTTGCCACATCCAAGAGTGCCTTATATTAGCTTCATATAAACTAAGTACCCCCAGATTACAATGGGAATCTTGCTTTATTGTGCACATCTGGTGGAGTCACAATACATTTTCACATTCGCTGTCTGAATTTTTGAGCGATAGTGGCATAAATCATTTTGCTAATCAGAAACATAAGTGACATGAAGGCATCTCCCCTCTTGGAACAAAGGAACAACATATGGCTCTAAAAGCACTCAGGTCTTTTATTTCCAAGGTATATAACCTGTGCGTAAACCAATATTATTGGACTGATTTGCATTTTTCTTTCATTCCGGGCTCTTTTTCAGAACTCATATCTTTGCAGATGACTTCAATAATGGATAAGAAAAAGCATTTCTCCCTCATTATATATTTGATTCTCAACTTGAGTGCAGTTAAGCAAAACATAAGACTCGGCTCAATGGTTTGTTGCAAGGTGAATTATGGCGGCGTACTCTGTGATTCAAAGAGAACATAGACCGGGGCATGCATGACAGATTTATGTAAATAAGCGAGCCAACGCAGCAACACAAACAACAACAAAAAAAAAAGTACAGTTCCTGCCTCTAATAAACTGCATTAACAGATGAAGCACAAACGACACTGATACGACAAGATGAATTCCTTTATTACGAGTGGGTTCTCTCCGGATCTCTCTGCATTGCTTCCAAATCATATTTGCCTCCTAAAACGAGAGGGGGGGGAGACACACATTCTTGCCAATAATAGTAAAATGGCTCCTGTTTTAATTGCATCATTACGTACCCAATATCAGCAGCCTGCCTGCCAATATCAATATTGCCATAACATGGGTGGAATATAGATGACCCAGGGTATGCGTGGGTCTTCCATGAGTGCCTCCATGCCAGACTCATCCCATTGCCCGCTGTGCAGGGAACGGGAATGTAGGCCGAATAGCAGCTCGTCTTTCTAATGTCCCCCCGTATTCCCTTAATTGCTGACGGATCTTGTTTGGATTTTGATGGCGGCTTGGAATCTGTGGTTGCTACACATAGGAATTGATAGGCCTTGAGGGAAACATCATGTTACCCCGCTATGTGTGTGTGCGCACGTGTCTGTGTGTCTACATCTGTCGGTCTGTACGTGCAAAGATCAGCCCTATTGTAGCATCAGGAGGCGGAGGGCTTTGCATAATGCATTCATACATTAGATGATGTAACTAATATAAATGGGGGTCAGCGGGGTCAAGTAAGCTGCACGGGGATATACACAGAACAGCTGGTTAACTGATGCTGAGGTTCTTCTGAACATGTACAGACTGTGACTCCTCAGAGCGAGCGAGCACTTCTATAGAGCGCAGAAAGGTTTGAAATAAAGGCTGTTTTGCATTTCTTCATCCTGCAAAGCTGCACATATGGCACAGCAGCAAACTTAACAATTAGTAACTGCTTTGATGAAGGAAAATTACATCTTGTAGGTCCCACTTCGAATGCACTTCACATATCCATATTAATGCATTCAGAACCAAAGAGTGAGAGATAATTTTCCTGTTTAAATATTTCATTCTAGCTTAAAACTTAGCCCGTAATTAGAGCTCCCCAACGGTAGGAGCATCCAGTTTGTCCGTTTTAATTAGATTGTTGTTTAACTATTAATTATGTATCTTTGTGTCATATAGTTTTGATGCTAACAGATGGTGCAGCGGTACGATTGGGTGATTTATTTACCTGTGCTTTGTTTGTATGATCCATACACGCTCAGGTGATGCCTGATGGTAGAATACAAGTTAAATATATGTATGGAACTTTCTCAATGTAGGGGTGCAGCAAGGGCCCCTCGCAGAAATGACCCTGTGAATACTCCCTCCCTGGATATGATTTAAATCAGCGTATGCACATTCGATCAGTACTGTTAGCTCTAGCTTCCTGGCTAACATTAGCTCCATCTGCCTGACTCCATTCAGCCTTGGAACCGACTGAAATAAGTTTGTTAACAAGTTCGTGATGGGGTCAAATGCCTGAGCCAGCTCCGTCCTTTTCTTCTTCTTTTTTTTCTGGCATGCTGACTCTGTGCAGGTCCTGGAACTGGCATACCAGTTAAGTTCACAGGGTCCACTTTTGGTAGTAACTTTACAAACAAAGGGTCATATTATTTTAAGAAGAGGGGGTTTACATTTTGAAATGGGCGACAATCAATAAAATGTGTGTTTTTGGTGGCCCTCTCCATGTGACTGGGCCCCAAAAAGCTCTTCCCCTTTATCCCCCCTTATGGGCAGCCCTGGGTGCATCTAATAGTTATTTTTCATTATGCGTTAATCTGTTGATGTCATGATTTGCTTGATAAATACGTTCCTCCTTTTGCCAATGATTTTCCAGGTATACCTTATTAACCATCTCAAATATATTCAATCACAAATGATTTCAAACGAAGACAACAAGCAAAATCTCAACACCTGAAAATTGCTCAGAGGAGTGAAAGGTTTAGATTTCTGCTAAACAGATCAGAACTGATCCAGGTTGAAATTCAGCTGTTTCTTCAGCTACATATGAGTATTTTAACATACATAATACATTAACTTCACAGTGCTTTAAAGCAGTGTGGTGTTCATTTGGGTTGTGCACTGCTTGTACCACTGCACAGTGTGATGCAGCGAAGGCTTACATAAACTAAATGAGCACTGATTCTAAACTGCAAAGCAAAGTGAAATATTGCAAACCAACATATGATGCTTAATAAACAGTCAATACTGCTTGCATTTATTACTATTCTGATGCCCTCAATGTCCCTGCGTGGGATCAGTTAAGTTCCCTGTATCTTATCCCACAGTTGAAGAGTTGTTAAGAATTCTTCAGCTGTTGATAAGCCCAAAAAGTTGTAATTTTCACTCTTATACTCAAACACCTGGAAGAAATATGAAGATTGAATTTACATTAAATTTTTCTGTAACGTTTTGTTTTGCCTGCATTTGTTGAAAGTAGATGATTTTATTTACTGGCCTGAGGAAGGAGTTCACAGTATAGTACACAGGAATATAATGTGGCCAGCTGTGGCTCAGTTGGTAGAGTTGGCCATCTTTTAACCAGAAGGTCAGGGGTTCGATCCCCAGCTCCTACAGCCACATGTCGCTATAACAACCCTATATAAAATAAAGGGTTTTTTTTTTACAAACAAACTGTACAGGGTTTTTTAAAATGTGTTGAATGTATTTTTCAAAAAACTACATTTCAGTAATACAGACTGACACATCATTGAAACGTGTTGTGTTTTTGGTGTTACCTTCCAATAAAAGTCCAATAAAACTTCATTGTTTCATGGAAATGGTGTCAATGTCAAGTGAACTACATTTTTGCAGCTTTTGTTTCTGTGTTTTGGTTGTTGTAACAACCCTCTGAACATTTGCAGCCAGGCAGAGCAAGTGAGTTAATTTATGTGTTTCAGCATGGCTGACCTGATCGAGTGAGAGTCAAACTCACAAACCTGGCGGTGTCCTGGTGAGGCTCCACCAGAACCAGCTCACAAACTTCACGCACCGCCGAACTTTTGACCTTTTTAACAGTCTGTCAACAACTACATGACACCCCTGTTTTTTACCCAGAAGTTGAGTCATGCTCACGTTTGTGTCTGGGTGTTCAGTTCGTGCCGGTTTGACTCTGGGCTGTACGTTTGGCTGACTGTTATTTGTTTTGTCTCCTGACGATGGGGGCCTGTGATTGATGGACGGGGTCCAGGACATCTCCGATCGACAGCTGTTGATAGCTCTGAAATCGAGAGCAGCAGTCGGAGCGTAACAATGAGCTCATTGCGCTCTTGGCTTGGTCGCCAGCCCAGCAAAACCACAACACTGGGGGGACTTCATGAATTTCAACTGGGGCCACAAATGTGAGTGAACATGGAAATTGTGCTGGGGTGAAGGGAACGGACTAAACCAGGAATAAAACCTGGATTATTACAATAGGCGAATTAAAAAAAGAAGACAAAGGAAAAGGAAGAAAGAAAACTAATGATATTTAAGAGGAAGCTGCCTTTTCCTCAATAACAAGTGTTAAAGATTTTCCTTAATCTGCAGACATAAAAGCTGTAATTAGGGGGTGGTACTTTCGGAGAAAATCACAACTTGAAATTTACAGTACACTGATGTGTTGTGTGCATGGCTTTCAATTTTTACATTGATAATTTCCCGGTAAATACTCTGAGGGCTCTGAGTCACAAAACGATTGAGTGGCTTTTGCACCCGCTAAACCTGTGCAAATAAGATTCTAATTCTGAAATCTAACACAAAGGGTTACATGCAACCCTAACTGCCCTGCGGAGCAGACAGCATCTGCTCTTTGTGTATATTTTAGATGAGCTATCGTGTAGTCAGTCGGTGGAAATTTGCCCCTTCCTATTCAGATCGGCCTCATTGCATAAAGGGTCTAATTTGCCAACACAGGGGCTAACAGGCACACACAGAGTTAAATTAACCAACACAGCCCTAGTACTGACATAGGCGTAACAGGAGGGGGACAGCGTCACTGTAAGTGGTCAGAGCCAGCCAGATGGAACAGTACTGCATGTGTCAATTTAACTTAAAAGTAGACATTAATTTACTAAATGAACATCAAGCAATTTTGGAAAAGACTTAAACGAGCCACTGAAAACATCAACTCATTGGAAACATGTTTACTGAGGTAATACATGGAGGAAGAAGTTTGCTAATTTTTATCCAGAGTCACATGATCAGACTTATTTGTGAGCTCCCTCTGCTGACTGGATGAAGTATAGGTCATAAGCCCCGCCTCCTCCCCATTGTGCTGATATATGTCCAGGTGTTCCCTTAAGCCCTGTAATGTCATGTCTGACAGCTCTGTTGAATAATCTGGCTCTTTGCAGCGTTGTTTTCTAGTTTAGCAGAGTAGAGGAGAAACGGGGGGAGAGGAAACTTAACATTCATCAACACGGCTGGTGTGTTGGTGTTTAAGTTTCCTCACGGGTCATTCATCTTCCCCTAACCAAAAGTGTCTACTTCAAACCAATGCAAAAATCTGCTCTCTACTGTACTGACCTGTTTGGATCTCTACTGTAGGTTTAGTGTGAGCTCTGTTTGAATCAATCCACTGGCCAGATCCCTTCTGTGCATGTCTTGGCTCCAAATGACTTCACCGACGCGATATGTCGGTAACTTGGCTTCACTTTTGTACAACAGAAGTAGCTGGAGACCCGCTGTCCATATTTATAGATCGTCTATGGCTGGTGATAAGAAAGAGCAACACTTCACACTGGCTTTTACTTTTCAGACATCTTCCACTTATCTTCAGTCTGCATTTTTTTTTTTTTCTTCACAACACAGGTGACTGTTATGGCTGCTGTGGGAGCGCCTGTTAGCGATAATATGGAAGGAAGAAAGGAAGGTTATTAAAGGAATCCTTCAACCTGAGACCATTTTCAGTCACTTCCTTGAATTAATAAAGTTTTCATGCATACAAAGTTGTGTTGATTTGCTTATGAATTGATATTGTGACTTTCTTTATTTTGTTGTATTTTCTCCCGTGTAACTGATGAAAGAGAAAAAAAGAGATGGAGCCCTGCAGCAGCTGAGGTGATCCGCTGCGAGGCAGAGAGTCTGGTGTAGGTTAATGATGGAGGTTAAGGAGTCTATGTAACAACTAAGCATGGCTCCATATTGTGTTTGGCCCTTAAAGCCACCCATACTTTTGCTGTAATTGGACGGCATCATGCTGTAATAAGCTGTGGTTGCGCAGGTTTGATGCCCGAGCCCCTCTGAGGTTACCAAAGCACCGGCGCCACATCTGAGCTCAAATTAGCATTCTGGGCAAGCAGAAGTCCCCGAGCTTAATTAAGGTAAATTCAACATTGTAGTTCATCACTGGGTTTTATATAATCTTAAAAACTAGTTTCGCTTGTTTGGCAGCTGTTTATTTCTTATATTAAAAAAGGAAACATTACACTGCAGATGATTTGGCATCACAGGATTTTGAATTTGAGCCCTCTATTATGGGAAATCTGGGTTTGTGCAATGATTAAATGCTTAATAAAAAATTCATTGTTGTTGCCAACATCTGTATTGTACGGGCTAACGGCTCACTGGAGTGTGCGAGACTTGTAAAGTTTCCAACGCGCCGTCGAGAACCCTGGAAAGTTCACCTAAGAGTTTGCCTCCCTCATTACCGAGCTACTTCTGTGCGTGCGATTAGACTGAGAACATCTTTAATTGCTTTAAAATCTGAATGCATGATAAGAATGGATTAATTTGATTTTTCTGTTCCTACAAGTAGCAGATGGTTTATGTCTTCAGAATGCTCATGTTGTAAAATGAGATCCCCAGCTTGTCTCTGATTGGTCACTGTTAATGAAGCATGCTGGGCTGATTATTGATTTAGAAAATGAGGACGACACGAGCTTTGTGTGTTGTTTGCTGTAATAAATTAAAGACACGCTTTTGTTTTATCGTTGACAGACACCTACCTTGAAAAACAGAGAAATATTTGATTTTCCATTCAGGTGGTCTCCGGCCCGTCAAAGTAATTTTATTGCTTATTTTAAAACAGGCACTTTTATTGTTGCCGCTAACAAGCAGATGGTCGACTTGACTTATTTGTGTTTTGTGTTTCTGAATGACCGATCAGATGCATGATGGGAAATGCAATGAGCTGCTTGTCAGGGAAGAGACAATTCACGGGAGAGGGCCCACGGAAGCTGTATACATTCCCAATTTACTCCCAGCTCTGCCGTTTTTTAAGGTTAGTAATTTTTTTTTTGCATTATTATTGGCTGTTGCGAGAGCAGCTGTTCCCCAGCCTCTCTCTCTGAATTACCATCCTCACACTGACAGACAGGCAGCTGATGGGGAAACTCGCTGCGTGCATGAGGAGATCCAATTCAGCGATGAAACTAATGTGCTGCATCAGGGACAAAAGGGGGGGAGGAGGGGTTGTGCGGGGGGGGGGGGGTCCCGGAGGAAGAGAAGGAGGTCCAGGTTCAAACACAGTCTGGGATCAGGTCTGGGTGAGCCTGCCTGGTTGGTGGTGAGGTTGTCTCTGTTTGGATGTGTTTTTCATCCAGTCAGATTTATTTATTTATTAATCTGGATTATTTATTCATTTATTTATTCTGTTCCCCAGAAACAGCCTTCTTGTTTTGGCTGCAGACTCTCAAACTGGCAGCCCTCCACTCCCTGAATATTGAAACCCTGAAAGACCACAGAAACAGTTTGGATATTCGAGGGGCAAGAAGTGGGATGGACACAATAATAGAAACATATCAGTATTATAAAACAATACACTGTTACAATAACACACAATCAACACTATGTAAATCTATATAAATCCTCCACAAAGGCTGGAAATACCATTATTTCTTATAATAATAATAATAATAACTTTATTTATATAGCACCTTGGTTTACAAAGCTTCGACAAAAAGCAAAGACAAAAACAAGACAAAGCAAACACAGAAGAACATAAACAACAGCAAGAATATAACAAATGCAGAAATAATCCAAGACAATCCAACAGAAAAGAACTACTCATGCAGTTGATTATTTCACAGGGCTTTTGTAATGGATTGTTTTAAGATGTGATCCAACTTTAGTGGCATAAAAGTTGCGGGGCGGCTGTGGCTCAGTTGGTAGAGTCGGCCGTTTCTAAACCAGAGGGTCAAGGGTTCGATCCCCAGCTCCTGTAGCAACATGTCTGAAGTGTCCTTGGAAAAGACACTTAACCCCAAGTTGCTCCTGCTGCTTTGTCGGTGGGGTGTGAATGTGTATGAATCGGATTAGTTAATTCTGATGGTCACTTTACATAGCAGCCTCTACCATCAGTGTGTGAATGTGTAGGTTTGACCTGTAGTGTAAAAAAGTTATTATATATATATAAGAAATATACAAGCTAATTACCATTTACCATTTACGGCTAGGCTATCAGGTATCCCAAGGTCATGACACACAATAGTAGAGTTTTAGGTACTAAAGTCGGTGAATGGAATCTGTGTGTGAAAAATAATGATGTGACCACCACTTACTAACAGAAACACACGGAGGGGTCTATTAATCAAAAACACAAACTTACTTTAAAACAACCTCACAGTAAAGGATAGCATGATGTGCTAGTCTTTGAATTTCATTAACCATGACATATTTGTAATGCAAAGATTAGCAATTATTACTGAACATATGGCTTTTCCTTTAGTGCCATTTTGTACTTTGGGTAGAATAAGGATTAAGGTAAAAAAGAAAAGATTAACACAATGAAAAAGTGAAACAATACACAATTGACACCTGACAAATCTATGCACTCTAAAGTATTAAGTAAAGTATTAAAAATCAGTTTTCAATGGTTCCTTTTTGCGTGTAAACGTGGCCTTAAATCCAGTCATAACAAGTTTCACAAATCAAGTAAAAGATGTCATTGTAACACTTTAATTATGCATTGCATTATTAACACTATACTATTATTCATTAGGGCCATGCAGTAATAAAGACAAGGCTGTCATGGACTGTTAGAAACAAGTCTTCGTTTCCTGTGACTTCAATAAATGGTTATGACACGACATCTTTGTTCTTAAATAAGTGAATATCTGTGCACTGAATCCCGTGCTGCTGATCGGGCCCTGCTGGAGGAGCTGAAGAGGTCATTTCATAGCAAAGTGGAGCTGAGGACAGTTTGAGTGTTTGCATTATTCAAAAAGGAGCAGCAGTGGATCCCAATCTGAATCCCCCACTGTGCTCCATTTCTGCAACATGCAGCCCTGCAGTGTGTCCGGCCCCTCGTCGTTTATTTGCTGCCGAGGTCTTCTGTTCATGTCGACTTCTATTGACATGCAGTGCAAACATTTCTAATTACCTTTAGCTCTGTGATATCAGCCCGCCTTGAATAACCTGCTGTGGCGTTTTACCACCTGTTACTAATCGCTCTGTGAATTCGTCACGGCAACGGCAATGATTCAAACCAACACCGGGCTCCCCCACAAGACCCTCCAGGAAACGCAGCAACCGGCAGCAGTGCGGCGTTCAGAGAGCCGAGGGAGCGACTTCATGGATTTCTTGCATCATTAACTATTTATGAGTTGCCACTTCATGTTATTTACACTGGACTGATGGTAATGCTGTTCAGAGCTCAAATGCCATGCAGGGGACCCGCTGGGATGGCGGGTTGGATGGTGCGAGGGCGGGGGGAAGGTGGAGGCATGTGTGAATCTGTTAAATATTGTACGGAAACGCCACCTGCAGCTGCGAACACGACGCGGGGTAAAAAGGGCGAGCTGGGTGCAACTCTGGGGGGACAAAGAAAATGCAGCAGCCTGCAAAGCATGCAGACAGTGTGCTTTGTGTGCCAGGGCACATTGTTACTATATAATGTATAAGTCAGCGCCTCGCCACAAGCCACAAGGAATATTCAGTTGACCTGGTTTATCTTTAAACCACAGGAGCTGATGCATCACGGTTTTCAGTAAATGTGTCATAGCTGAAGGTAGGTTATACATCATCTGCTGCTGCAAAGACGGTTAAGAATCTATCTATCCATCTCTGGTAATTAGTAACCATTTTTGGGTTTAGGTTGCACAATTTTTCCAATCTCATGCAAGGCTAAACTAACAGCCTGCTAGCACTAGCTCCATAATTAGCGTACAGGCAAAAGTGTGTCACCTATCTTTTCATGTATCGTTGACAAGATGGTGAACTACCAAACTACCAAAAAAATGTTTTGCCCATGTGTTAGAAGATAAGAATTTATACTTTAATCTTACGATGTAGCACAAATAAAGAATAATTTTTATCTGTTTTATCAGCAACCAGACACGATCAGAAATTTTGTTTTTTTGTTTTTTTTGTTCTACTATTGTTGAGTTTAAAAAAAACCCTACCCTATGACATCACTGATTGGCATGATCAAAAGTGCAACAGCTGTCTGTCTGTCTGTCTGTCTGTCTGTCTGTCTGTCTGTCTACCTGTCTGTCTGTCTTAAATGAGCAGTTGGTTTATCTTAGCATCATCATATCGATGTTTACCTGCCTGAATATATTCACGTGCCTCTTTTACTGTCTCCTCTTCTCTTTCCAAACATCTCTCTCAAATTGAAAGGCAAATCAACAATATGTGCCGTTAACTAGAAAATGCATCAACATGGAAATGTGTCAAAATCAGTTTCGCAACATGGCATGCAAACTGTAAATGAAACACTTGGAATGTCCAATCAGACAAACAGCTGTCACACACTCTCCCTGTGCAGATGCTCGAAGAGAAACGACTGGACCTGTCACAAACAAATGTTGAGTTATTCTTCAGCATCTTCACGGAATAAGTCAAACAGAAGTGATGAACAAACGCAGAAAAACTAAGTTCTGGTTGCATATATGAGCAACGATGTCCTTGGAGTTGCCTCAGGACTATTGCTTTCGAACGCTGTGGGACTTATTGTTGCCAGGAAACATTTTATGATTTTTCATTTCGATGATAACTGCTGGGAGTGTTGCCCATCTACACTGTTTTAGTCTAAGTGCACCCTTAGGCCTTTCTATATGTTTGCCAGAAGGAATAACATCTTTGGTACTGTAGCATTTTTATTAAGTTCCTGCTTTTTGTTGTCTGATGTGTCTGGAGCTTTAATAGAACAGTTTCTGCTTATTCCGCCGGAAAATTAAGTGTTTTAAGGAAGAATGTGCAACATGTTCACACATAAATAAATCAGAAATCAAATATATCATCTGAGTCATGACTGTCTACAATGAGTGAGAAGCTCGAGTCCCGCTGGCTGTGTTGTTGTCGAAGCCATGTTTACATGGACGAGACAGCCTTGAGTATAAAGCTGTTTAAGTCGAGGACTAGAGAGAAGAAGAACAAACTCCTTGCTTATTTGGATGTTACGTAAGTGTCTTTAGATCACAGTCATTCAGTGTTAATTTATTTGCAATGTGAAGCTATGAGCTAACTAAAGTGTGCTAACATTAGCATGCTAAGACTGGCAACTGGCAATTGCAGCTCGAGTATGGACCAATTACTGTATGTCCACCGCTTGCGCTTAATGGTGCTTAATCATGATGCGTTCTAATAGATAACTCCTTCATGGGACCACGAGGGGATGGTGGTTGGAGGTGTGCCGTTGGAGGAGAGCCGGCGCTTGAGAATAGCGGACGTGTTGCAGTTTGTTTTGGTTTAATGCTGGTGCTCAAGGGTGACATCTACTGGATCAAAAAGTCGCACATTCTTCCTTTAGAACAAGATTGAGTATTTTGATTTCACCAAAGACTGTATAAAGAATGGACGCAGTCTCAGTGACATCATGCAATGGTTTCTAAAGAGGCGTTATGAAACCGAACGATGGAGGTCACCATGTTGGAAATGCTGACCCTAACTCACTTTTTTCAATACAGTTACCGATAAAGAGGTGGAGCTGAGGCGGCTCTTTGACCTCTTGGCAAACAGCTACGATGCAGCCACATGTCCGTCAAAACAGCCATGCACCTAATTATGCTAATTTATATAACAACAAGTCTAAGGCTTGTACAAACCATACGGGGTGTACCAAAAAAAGTTAAAGATACTTAATTTGTTTTTTGGAACCAGGCTGTAAATGTGTTCATTTCAGTTGGAAAAAATTGGCATTTTAATACGGACTGTAAAAGGGATTCTTAATTACACAAAAGCGTTGGACTTTTGGAACTTACAAGTTGCCAATTTTGAAAATAATTCATGCAATCTAGACAGTGCTCTTGGTTGTTGCTCTCTGTATCATTTGGTTTGAAATATACCTTTTATTTTTTTCCTGAACTTCAATACTATCATTCATTAAAATAACTGTTGACAACCTTACTGAGACCATACTGAAGCAAGGGAACTCCAAACACGGAGATCTCTTCTTGAGCGGTTTGATTCTGTTTTCATTGCAGATATCTACTTGTAGGGATTTTAGTAGCCCTTTGCACGCCTTCTCACACAAATGAATTGTCAAGCTAAACTATTAAGATGGCTCTGTTGGCGCTATCTGGCATACCAACCAGATTTTTGGTGATAAAAAATATGTCACTTACTGTCTGACATTTGAGATTTTGTTTTTGACAACCGCACTGAGTTTTTTGCTTTTTCAGAAAATATAAAGGCTTTTATAAATGGACCACAGGCCTGTTTACCATTGTAGCAAAAGATATTAACTTTACAGATGTTGATCTATTTTAAGATCTTTGTTGAGTTTTCAGACAATTTCATAAACGGCACCAATTATGATCATTTAGGACTTTAGGCAATTATGTTTCTTCACATTAGTTTTGAAGGTTTAAGGTTCATTATTTTACTAATGTCTCTCTGAACAGACTTTGTTTACTTTCCTGCTGCCAAAAACTTAAAGATAAGAGACTATCTGAGCTGGTAAACATGATGAAACATTCATACCTAGTTATTAAAGTACATTCTGCCCTGGCCTTTGTTTCCCCTTGCTACAATTAACCATACCTTCAAAATGAGCCCTTTTCAGACTTCCATAACTAAGCTCAACCATCATAACTTCTTTGTACATTCATATCGATTCTTCAACAATGTAATATTAGTGTCCCAGTCTGTGAATTCACATCGCATTTTGGCACTGTAGAAGCACGGCACATACACACACAGTCAGACAAGCACATACTTTTTTTTGTCTACATCTGTAAATTTTGTAATTACTGTACATAGCACAGACTCTTGCACTTTCTGCTTATTTGCACTTCTGGTGAGATGCCAAACCTCATTTCGTTACTCTATACTTGTATATGTGTAATGACAATAAAGTTGAATCTCATCTCATCTCACATACACACAGCGCTGTGCTCCCCTGCTGGCGACGCTGAAACTGTCTGGCCTCTGTAATACCTCTGTTACTACCTCCGACGACGGTACAGAGTGGGAATCACTTCGCCCCTCCATTACACCTCCGCCTAATTCAGACAGGGGCAGAAATATCGCGGCTTGAAACATCAGTCTGAATAGGGCTACAAAAACTCTTCAGAATCAGAACAGAATATTTTGAATGATGCTCAAGCGCCGGAGTAAATCAGGATCTCCAGATTCATCAACAGCCAGCGTGTTTGAATTTATATTCTGCTTTTGCACAGGAATTACTTTCCTCTTTAAAAGACCAATTCTGTTTTCAACAGGCCGAGTTTAGCTTGTTCTGCTGGAGGTTAAGATTGCTCCGTGCATCAATGTGTTGCTTATAAAATACCCAGCATCCTCAATGATCAGCAGCGTCATGCTAGGTGTGAGTCATCTCCCATCAAATTTAGAGAGATAAATGTAGAACATGGTGTCACCTTTCCAAACAACCCAATGCTTGTATCCACTTGTACTCACCTGCATCCTCTTGATAATGATGCCTTCACTGCCTGTGAGGGCCTTCATGTTGGCTCGTTAAACACTCTTTTTCTGTGAGTTATTTAGGCTCCTTTAGCTCACAGTCTGGAGCCGTGATTATTGCCTTGGTGTTACTCATGGAGCTTCACAGCTTAGATGTGTTCCTGATCCCCTTATTCCTCCGCTGCTGTCATCAGACTAACAAAAAAAACAAAAAACAGGCTGTAATTTGACCAGTGTGATTTGCACTGCAACAACAATCCACAGCCATTGTAGCAGAAAACCGACCGCTAATCCACGACCACCCAGAACTCCCTTTTCAACTCCCCCTGATAATGAGGCTAATTTTTATTAAGTAAGTGCACACATTGTTTGTGGCAATCGCTGAAGCTTCAAGGAGTCGTTGTGACAAGAGGAGCCCGAGAGCTTAAATTACCAACTCCCCGTCTCCGCTAGCACGGCTATAATTAGCCCGAAATTAACAAGAAATGTTTGCTTTGGTTAAATTATTCAAAACATTTATTGCACTTGTCAGTGCTTAGATCAACTTGTTGTTTTAAATGTTTAGTTTTATTTGTTCTGCTTCCTGGGAAAGCTATCTGACTGTGAATCTTTTATTGATGATTGCAGGGCTCGGTGGATCCTCTCGTCTTCTTTTAGGCTTCTGCACATTGTTGGCAAATGATGCAACGTATAAAAATAAATTTATTAAGAGATAATTGCTTGATTTTTCTTTTCTTTTTGTATCCATTGTGCAGCACTTTGGTCATCTGCTGCTGTTTTATAATGTGCTTTATAAATAAGGTTGCCAACTACAAGGGACAAAGTATTTTGTTGTGAGCTCAGTGCCTCAGCGGTGTGACTGAAGTGAAGAAGCAAGGACTGTATAGGCTCTATATGATGACTAAAACCGAAATATTATGCAAGTTAATAACCTCTTTTAGACACAAAAGGGACCCCAAAGTCTACCATAGACCTCCTTATGAGAATAATTGTAGATATATTTAGGAATGATGAAACCTTAACCAAAAGGTTCACTTCCTGTCATTGTGTCACTTTAACATGACATTAGACTGTTATAGTGGAAATAAGTGATTTACTTTGGACCCCTTGTAGCCCCCTTATTGACCTCTGCAGAGGCGCTGCTTGTCATTAGGCAAGGCAGGCAACTGCTTGGGGCCCCAGAACCAGTAAGGGACCCCTGAGGGCTGAAAAACTTTAAACCAAAATGTGCAAATTTTGCAACAACAGTAGGAAACCTCCCTAAGGGGGCCCCACCTGACAGCCCACTCACTCTCGTTGCCCTGCTTCACATTGCATGCATTAGCCCTGTGAAAGCCAAAGTTTGTCAATGAATGTTAACAAATGAAAATGAAGAGGAATTATTAGAAGAGAAAAAATAAACAGGAAAAAAGAGAAAGAGGAGAAATCGTTGGGACGCTGATTGGAGGGCCCTCCTAATTGATGTTTGCCCAGGGGCCCCACCAGAATCTAGAATGACCACTGGACCTTTGACAGACTCCACTTTTAGAACCACTCTGATAAACTTAAAAAAAAAAAAGGTTAAGATAAATCAGAGGTTGGAGCCTGACAATAAAAATAGCGACAAAACAAAAATCCAAAAGAGGAGCACGTAACGTCAATTTACAAGAGGGGTCCTGCTCGGGACAAAACTATTTTGTTTGAAATAAAGGACAGGCTAACACGAGACTTCTCGGCTAATACAGGAGAGTTGGTGTTAGGTGGGGGTTATTTCTGTATGAGATGGACAACTATGAGATCGTGAAACAGACTGTGGATCATCTTACATTTATTCAGCCATGGTCAGACAACACAGAAACACAACACACATGGCTGACAAAGTGCGGACCATCGCTGACCAAGATCTCACAATCATTGACAATCATTGGCAAAGTGGCCAAGTCTTCATCACACAGTGTGGCTTATATTCTGCTAGAAGGTACAGCCCACAAATTCCATTTGGGTACATCACTATAAAACAATAAAGATGACATGACACTGATTTGTATACGTAACAGATGTAGACTCTCTGTCTAGCAAACAGTTGTTGACAACATATAGTTGGCTCCTATCCATTTATAGATCTGCTACTACTTAGGTGCTTCACCCATATAAGGTTAACGCTTCACAGACCCGAAAGTAGAATTACTGTGAGATAGTTGACACAATTTAAAGATATGTCCACAAAATTATCAAGATGAATGAATCCATGAAAATACGTACTAACAGTTGGTAACACTATTTATAAATAAACTTGACTAAGAGTTGCTAAAATGATGCATAGAGGTGAAGGGAATGGGGGTGTTGATAAAGACAACAAATCTTTATGTCAAACAATGCCTAAAAGTGAATCTGCCAAAATAAATTACTGCTAAAATATTAAAACATTTCTTTCTTCCAACAGCTGGAGTTATCGATATCTACAGATGGAAACTGGGATAAAGTAGGACACGACTTTGATGTCAAACCCCAGAATCAAACTCGGTAAAACAAATTGTAAACGCGACACGCTCAGACAGAACAATCAGCGCAGCGCTAACAAAACAAACACAAATAGAAGTTAAGGATTATTTCCATTAGACAAGTCGGGGTTGTCTTCAGGCTCTTTGTCGCTGTTTGTGAATAAAAAATGATTCATGGTGACTAATGCACAGAGTGTCAAACACAACGTATTGATTGCAGATGAATTAATTGAAGATGACATTGTGTCTTTGGCAAAGGGGGCACATTTATGGAAGTTCACCATTTTATTAACACAGTGACGACCCCGAGGCGATGAGGTAATCCGTTTCTTTTTGCACTCTAAATGCAGACTGTGTGTTAAATCCATTTTTTTTTTTTTTTTTAAACAAGGCGGGGGAGAAAAACAGCGCCCAGATTCTAATGCGGCAAGATTGACAGACAGATAAAGGGATACAGTAATACAATGACGGCATGACAATCTCTCCACACATTTTATGGTGACGAATAATCAAAAATCCTTTTATCGATGACACATCAAGGAGCATTTAGTTTATGCTTCGGTTAATCCCATTGACTATTTTGTGATTTCGCTCTCTCTTACTTGTTCCAATGTGCTATATTTGTCTCGTAAACGCTGGATGTTTTGGCTTGACAAATTGCTATACAGGCACAATCCTATTAAGGGATGCGGTGTTGTGTTCCCTGCCAGTGACATTCTGTTTGGGTGTTGCATTAGCGACGATGACTAGTCTACTGTTCTGTCATTAATGGATAATAAGAAGCATTTTGTATTTTTAGACACTTCTTTCAGCATACCACTTGTTTTTTCATTAGAACAAAAAAAGTCTAGAGAGGGGATTATTAAGGGATAATGTGCCACAGGATTCCTTTTCATCAATCAATCAATTAATTAATCTTCATTCATCCGGCACTTTACTGGAACAAGGCGTCTAAGACGAGGCAAAGTCCTTTTCCAGGGGAGACAAATGAGCAGTGAAAACCGCGCAGTGGAATCAAAGACGACGAGGCAGAGAATGAAGGCTTTTCATAAATGAATTTGAAGGGTGTCTCGAAGATTGTTTTACAGGTCGGGATCAAATGTTTGACACAGTCTGTTTCAGATGATCAAAATAAAGGCCTTGTGGTAAGCTGGAGACTTATGTACAGGGGTCGTAGTCCTCCAGAAAAGAGCAGCTTGGTTCAAGGTTCCCGCATGTCATTCATCGCTCTCTCTTTTGATTTCCTACTCTATCCACTGTCCCATCTAAAGACAAGCTCATAAGGGGGAAAGCTTTTCTGGGGCCAAGTCGCATAGGGAGGGCCCGTGGAGCTACTCACATTACCTCTTAAAGCAACAAAACAAAAATGTTATGAGTAAAGTACTGGTTCAAAATGTAAACACCCTCTTCTTAAAATGATATCAACCTTTTTTTTTTTTAAATGTTACTGATGTAAGCGGGACCAGAGGGAGCTAATGTTAGCCAGGAGGCTAATGCTAACAGTACTGATCGAATGTGCATATGTTGCTTTAAGTCATATCCTGGGAGGGCCCATTCACTGGGCCTTTAAAGGGGCCCAGCCATTCCTGCAGGCAGGCCTGTCTAAATATGGGCAAAAAGTACTGCTTAGTGCACGCGCGCCATGTACGGAAGCCATAGTGCTGCAAGAGGGCAGCCCGGGTTCAAATCCTTACCTGCATGTTAATCCCCACTTTCTCCTTTCCTGATTTCTGTCTCTATCATCTGTCCTATCTCAAAATAAAGGCATAAAAACCCCAAAATAAACCTTGAAAAAAAAAAAACAGCATCAGCTCAGCGAGCCACCTGCATCTCTCTTCCATCTCTCCACCACACATCATATCCGTCACAGTGAGGGGAAGGATGCAGCTGCAGGTGTTGGTGGGTTTTTTTTTCTTAACTCATGTGGGGAGAAATAAACATCCAGACAGTCTGTGAACCACCTTTGTTGTCTTTGTTCTGGATAATCTGCTCTTTAAGAACACAATTTAGACTTCTGTTTTTTTGATTTTCTTTGTCATAATTATTTAATAATTCATCTCAAACTTCAATTAATGATCTGTTAATCTTTTATTCACTTCAGTCTATGAAAAGACCCTGCCTTTATTTAGGCTCAGGTGACTTTATTTGTACCTGTAGGTACATTTGGTTGGTTGGTGAGTCACATCATAGACTAAATAAAACACAGACGATACATAAAAAAGTGAAAATGCATGGTACATGGATAAAAGTGCATAAAGTGCACAGATTCCAATCGTACAAATCGATAGACAAGTTGATCTGTAAAAGTTACAGAGTCTAGAATATTAAGATAGATAAGATAATAAATTAATGAACCATTGAGAAGCATGACATCATCTTCCCATCCTCTTACCTCTGTCCCTCCATTGACCTTCATGAAATGTAGGACAGCCATCAATACGAGACAGACCTGTAATCATTTTTAAACAATAATCATAAAGACGAGAAAGACTATGAAATGTTAAATTTACACTAGAAAGAATATTTAAGAAGCGCTGCATAGCTTTGCGGTTACGTCGTGTACCCCATGTACAGAGGCTGTAGGCCTCATCACAGCAGCCGTGGGTTCAAATCCGACCTTGTGCTCTTTACATTTCACCCCCCTCTCCCTCCTCCCTCCTGTCTCTCTTCAGCTTTCTTATCCAATGAAGACAAAAAGGCTCGAAAAATAACTGGAAAGGAAAGGAAAATATTAAGCACATGCAAGGAGCTTTTAAAACAGACATATCGGTCACTACTGAGGGAGGCACGAGTTAAATTCTGTAACCTTTAGCAGCAAAGAGCGCCAGTGAGAAGCGCTCTGATACCGAGGTCGTGGGCGCTGCCAGCGTTAACGTTGCTGTTCACAGGCAAGACTTAAGAGTGGATTTAAAATTGTCTCATATTTTGTATTTATGCATTTTTGAAGCACAAATACTGAAGTTTGAATGGATGTTTCTTTTTCTTTGTCAAAATGCATTGTCCTACATTGTCTTCAAACGACATACAACATTTCATTTTAAGCCGATAACTCAGAGTATTTGAGTTAAAGAAAGTCGTCGCATCCTTGATTGTTCTTGAGCTTTAGTTAAACCCATAAATGTACACATTTCAAAGCATTTTTCCACTGTAACTGTTTTTCAGACCTTTGCTTTAAACTCTGTTAGCGCTGCTCTTGCTCTTGACTGCAGCCTTGATTTACAGTAAATCTG